ATTTATTCCTATCACGATCACGATATAATCAATTTCAAATTTACATAACTGTAGTAAATATAAATTTTACAACTTAAAAATTGAAATGAGTACCAATGAGCTCTACACAGGTCACAGAGTTTGCCTTTGAGTACTCGGAACAACTTGTAGATTCTCCTATAATTACATCCAATACATTTAATAGAATAAACATTGGTAGTTTATTAAATCTAGATTCAATAAATTATGCAATTGTTATATTTGTATAAAAAGTAATGTTATATTGACTATTGTTATTTATATTTATACATAAAAACAGACAGAGTAAATTTAGTTAATATGATACATGGTAATTATTAAATATTTTGAGGCTGAGTTTAATGAAAACATTATACACAACTATAAAAACTGATTACACACCATCGTCATGGTGATTCGTCGGAGTTTAAGTTGTTATTTAAAAAATCATTAAATTATTTTAAAAAAACTTAGAGCTTTAACTGATAAAACGTAGTATAAGATCATTAAGCATACATTAATACATACGAGTCTCATTTAAATATTTTATTTTATCGTTTTGTTAAATTAACACATTTTTCTTATAAACTTGGTAAGTTTATTTGCATTGCAAATTCAAACAATCCGATGTATTTGTGTATTGAATAGTATGTTGTGTCTTTTGGTAACCCGCATGATAGGTAGCTCGTTTTTAAATAAAAGTTGTTTCTCTCTATCTATAAACAATAAGTTATGACCGGGATTTGAATTTAAAAAAAAAAATTTGTTTTATACTCATTAGTGATTAAAACGTTATCAAACATTTTTGTCTTACGTTATTTAAAATTAAAACGTTGTGTAACTTTTATGTTATATATTATAATACTACACATAAAAAAAATTGTTTTTATTATTTTATTTATTTAAATATATACAGTTTATATGATTAATCTTAAGTTTCCACGGTGTCTTTAGTTATTGCAAGTCAGGTCTGTACAGTCATGTAAATTTACCATATTGCCGTAAATGTTCATAAATAAATTGTTTTAAATGGTTCTCTAAAATGCCTGAGTGATTTCCAGTTCGATTTGAATTTTGAGCAGTTTGGCACTCGTAAAAATTTTAATTTGTATTGCCATTGTATTTAAAAAAGATTTTCAACCAGGAATTGAAATTTGTTCTACTCATGATGATGGTTAGAAAAATAAAATATTAACTTGTATCCGGTAACATTAAGTGATTAGGGCATTAGGTCTATTAAATATTAATTATCAAATGAGTAATAACATTGGAAAGTTTGCAAGTCTAGATTATGACATTAATTTTATATCTTAAAAAGATTTAAAAACCTATTATAACGGCTTATCGCTTACAACGGTATACTATATTCATAGTAGAATATTCGTTTAACAAATCATAGAAATACATCACGGTGAATTCAAAACTTAATGATTTTTAAAAATAATTTTGCATTTGATGTACACAGATTAAGTCTATCACAAAAAATAGTTCATGTTTATGTTTCGAAGAGTTCAACAAAGTTTTTTTTTCAATAATAATATTTTTGTGTTTAACATTAAACTGATGTGTAAGAATGTATAAATAAATACGTAATACATTTATAGGTACAAGTATTTTAAAAATATTTCTACAAAAAAGTATGGTAAAAAAGACAACAATTCATAAATGTATCGATTTATAAAAGTCTACTTCGCAACTAAAATGTTTTCTACAAGTTTGAGGCTAGTAAAATACAATTAAAAACAATTTACTAACATATGTTAATTACTATGGTTAGTTTGCAATAAAAATTAAAATATACATAAATTATAAATTATTATATTTACTTGCTTTTTCAGAAATACGAAAGTATTAGGAAGGTAAGTTATAAGTAAACATTTTAATGTACTTTCCTAATTGCAAAAGTTAAATTATCGACTATGATTACAATTCATTATTTGAAATAATATTTTGTATTCTTTAAGCTATGATAAAAACCATTTGAAAACTTTGCTCAAGAAATTATGCGATTTTAGCTGATTGAAATAAAGAAACTTTTGAATAAAATTCCCAGGAGCGTATGATGTACATGTACAAAGTAGCTTCATTTTGTATATTGCACTCTACTACAAAACACAGCTATTTTAATAATGAGAAGAAATCAATGTTTTCTTCAAAATTAAAATTTGCAAATTATAACAATTATTCATACAAATCAATTTAAAATATATCAGAGAAATTTTATATTAAAAAATATAACAGTTGGCAATTAAAAAATTATTATATGTGTCTTTAGCTGCTAGTTAAATTGTAACTGTTTTAAACGAAAAATTATTTTTTAAATTAATTAATAATTTTGTTAAATTTATTTTATATTTCTTTATTCTTTACTTATTAAATTATTGAACTATTTGATTATTTTTAAGGATAAAGTAATTGTATAATTCCAACTACCTACTTAAATAACAGAAATATATAAAACATTTTTATCTTTAACATTTTGAATTTATTAAGTATAAATATCTCTTTTCGTGTAACTTGTTGTTTAATGGAATTATTTTACGTATTATTATATAATTGCATGAAAATAAATAAAGTTAAAAAATTATTGTATAAATTGTTTAAAGTAAACTTCAGGTGGCTTTTAAATATTATTTAAATTTGGTAATATAAGAATATTTTGATGTTCTTAAAAAGGAATAGTAGATAGATGTAGATTTTAATGAATGGATAGTCTTTGGGTATAGGAATTTCATAAATTATATATAAATAATAAACAAATTGAAATTATTTTTAAAGTAAATATTTGCAAAAGAAATATTTTGAATTTGATTTCTCGAATATTATTGGTATTTGGTTGATATAAATGCCAAGGAAAAATTAAAATACTTCTCGGTAAGTAAACCTTTAAATAATTTCTTCATCAAGATTTTGCCGTGAAACAAAAAATATTACAATATGTTTATAGTACTCTTAAACTATATATATATATATATATATATATATATTGCTATAGTATAGTCAAAAAATAAATAAATTACTTGACAAGTAGATTATACAATTTTATGGCCATTCTATTTATTAATCTATTATTTTTAGTTGTCTTGAACTAAAGAATCTTTAGCATATTTTAGAAAAATATCTGTTACGAGTTCAATATAATGTGTTCGAATGCCATATGTTTAAAATTCATCTACACCAAGGATGGGTAAATCAAAGTAACTGGAGGGAAAATGTATAGAACTTTATAATCTGGTGGGCCAGAGTAAAAAAGCAAAAATTAAAAACAGAAGTCATTAAAATTGATACTTAACATTTATTTATTTTTTATAATTTAATTTTACGAATAAACCAACACAATACTTACCCAATACCTTTAGCTATGTTAGCCATGCTAATATATATATCTATATACATATTTATATTAAATTTAAATATTTATTTATTATATTATAAAATTATATATTTTATTAATATAAAATTATATTATTAAATAATTTTATTTAACTAAAAAAAAAAAAAAAAAAATGGTAGTGTTTGGAATACTTTTTAAAAAATATTTCCATTTATATTTAAATACTTTAAAAAAGAAGTATTTAAATACGTACTCTAAATATATTTAAAAATTATTCTTAGGGAAACTGCTTAAGGGTTAATGTAAATTATTTGTATATTAATAGTTTACTGTGTAAATACAAAATGTTTAATTAGATGATCCACTGGCATAGTGTATTTAGCATATGAATAACTTAAAATAAAGTAGGATATAAAAGTCGTGTATTATACTATTCAAAGTTAACTTAACTGAGAAGATAATTTGAGTTTTTGATATTAAGTGTTTATGATTACTGTTACATCAATATGGTATCATGAGTTAAACAAAAGTAGAAGTTTCTCTCTCGTCATCAAATAGCAGACATGGATGACTGGTTAGTATTGATGGAGGGTTGAAAAATAACAAATTATTTTTTTTGTCAAAATGTAGTATAGAGTGAAGTAAAGATTCTTTTGTGGTATAAGCAATTTTTTGATATTATTTGTTAAATGTATAATGTGATTCCAGTTGACTGGAAAATTACATAGATTAAAATGACTATTTTTTTAAGGATCAATGTAATATTCAAGTCAATCGTATAATAGGGAATTACATTATACGTTCAACAAATAATTTCACGAAACTATCTATGTCATGAAAATACTTAATTTCACCCTATATCAATATATATATATATATGTAATTGTTATATACTACTTAATTATATGTTATAATTTTTATTATTTAAATTAGATAATTTCGTTGTTGAGCATTTTATTTTACTGAAATCATGGTATAAAAAATATGAAATTTACTGTATGTCATTAATAGACATAGGATTAATTTTACCTTGCGGTAAAACTAAAAAACTAAGTTATTATTTATTTAATATTTTACTTATTAAATATGCTCTTTTAATGATACATGTACCCTTTTCGAAGTATATGGTAAATCTGTGCGCTCTCTATTTTCGTATCCATTAGTATGTAATTTATTTATATGCTATTTGAATTCTTAAATTATTACATTTTCGAATAAATATCAGGAAAATAATTTATCTTGTTACATGTTAGGAAATTGTATTTTGACAAGATATGAAGATATAATTAGCTGTTGTTGGACTTAAATCGTAATAGAACATCTGAAACAATTCGTAATGTGTAACAAAGGCATTAGAAAACCGGAACTTGTATTTCTGATAGAAACGTAAATTTTAATTAATCATGCAGACCGTAATATTTTCGAGTTTAAACGGTACGTTTGGGAGTTTTTATTTTTATTATTTTATTTTATTTTTTTTTTAATAATCAAATATTAATTTTGGAATTATAATTGGAAACGAGATCATCTTGAAAACCGTACGATATCGGGAAGAAAAAAAAAAAAACAAGTGTTTTACCACAGCCCTCTCACCCGAACCAAGTTATTTTTCAAGATCTCTCTAAACGTGTAACACACTGTTATTACGATTGAATTACGGTCTACTCACGAATCGTCGTCGTATGGCCCTCGTGCGTTTGTTGTGCGACCGGGTTGGCGGTGCGCGACGAGATCGGTGCTCCTTAACGAACCGAACGGAAACGTTAAACGGCGATACGGTACTGTCGGGGCGAACGGTGGCGCGACGGGTTACGGAGCGGATCGGAACGACTTCGGTCGGGCGATCACGGAGAGACGTTTGCACGACGCGCAGCGGTGACGGCGACGGCGGTCGCGGCAATAGTGGTCCCGTCGACGAACGGCGGCGTGCGATCGCCGAACGTGCCGTCGCGAACGTAACACGTAGTCGTCCGCGGTCGGCCGTCCCCGCGTCCCGAGCGTCGTCCCGAGTTGTGGCGCGCGCCACACCGTCCCGACGGCGTACCGGCGACGTCGTCGGCCGTCGGCAAATCGCATCGGTGCAACGGTCGTCCGCGGGATCGCCGCGACCTTGAAACTGCCCGATCCCACCGTTAATCCCTGTCAGCGGCGAGTTCACCTGACCCCCTGGTTTTCCCCGTTTTCCTTGTCTGTTCGTGTCGTGTGCGTCAGTGACGTAGCTACCGTAGGGCAAAGCGGGCCAGTGCCCCGGGGCCCCGGATCACAAGGGACACCTCGAACATTTCTGAAACTATACTATACTTCCCTAAAATAATTAACAATGTTGACGATTTTTAACAATAACTCTCCAAATCGTACGCGCTGGTTCCGGTAACAATCAGTATTGAAGTGGAATAATACACGCAATATTCGTTTGTTTTTCAAAATAGATACCCAATAAACCGAATTTTCTTTTTAATCTGCACATTTGTTAATTGTCTGGCAATTCATTTTATCTATCAATGCGTAACAATTAAGTATTCACGTTTAAAAAATAATGCTACGTGCATACTATAAATTTTCATGTAAACATAATGTAAGTTAGAGAGCCTAGTTAACATACGGCACCGAGGCTCTTTTCTGCGAAGCTACACCACTGGTGCGCGTTCGTTACGTGAACATTTCTTTTGAAATTTTATCTCAATCGCATTTCAATGTTAAACCCGATACAAATCATTACTGTACATTTCACGTATCCATTATGTATTGTTATTGATATTTATTAGTTAGAAACGTATTATTAAAATCAGGAGCGCAATTTCAATGAAAAAACTGGGGGTGCTGAAGCCCTTTTATCTTTTTCATGATCCTTAATGTTTATAGACACCCGCAAACCGTACAATTCAACAGTTACTAAAATATTTGGTAAATATATGAATATTTCTAAATTTAAATTATTCACTTTAATTTTATATTTTTATTGCGCCTATAACGAATAACCTGACTGTAAACACAAATGTTTTATCACATGATTACTTTTAGATTCTGACTGAAGCGAAGAATATTATGGTTTCATAATGATGTTTGTATTTTGTTTGTTTAACACTTTTTCGGATAGAAATACTGGCCCAAAAGTTTTTTCTAGGACTTTTTTTAGATTTTAAATTGGCATGCGGTGGTACTTTAGATAGGTCATTTTTTTAAATCATAATAATTTTTCTAGACGTTAGGAAAAAACTGTCCTGAAATGATAAAAATACGCTGTAAATAAGACGTTCACATTTCAAATTTTAGTTATTTAGTTATAATTAGAAACTTGAAACTAGAAACTTGAAACTTTTACCCTATAGTAAAGATATTTTTTTTTCGTATTGCAAAATATTTTTGTATTGTATAAAAATTTATATATTTATACAAAAAAAACTCAAAAACTATTATGTTTTTCTAAACATAATGAGTAATGAGTATTTAAATGTAAATTAACATAAACACGTTTGGGGGTACTAATTTCGAAAATGGGGGTGTTAAGCACACCCAAACCCTCCCAAATTGCGCCTATGATTACAATACTATTCCAGCCCTGTAGACAATAACTGTGATGCACTGAACGTTTACAATTTATGCTGAAATATCGGATGTCTTATGATACGTAATGATTGATTATTGTTTAATATTTTGATCAGTTACGCGATATTATGAACATTGCCTTGTCGGAATACGATAGTGGCTGCATTTGAATGAATAATGCATGGTTGACAATCCAGTTGTTTTATATGTCCACGGGAATAAGAAATGTACGGATTCGAAATTTCCGATTTTGGCTTGGCGTGGCGGCGAGATTCGTTTTTTGCTTGAAAGAAACAAACGATGTGCGTTCCATATAATATATACGGTGTTACGTGCCGGTCAGTGTGCATCGCCTAGTGCAACGAGAGTAGAGCAAAATCAATTAAACTGCTTTTTAATCAAAGACGTGTGAAATAAATAAACTCCCAACTTAGAATAAAAACTTTATTGTTAATAATTCCAAGTATAATTAATTTAATTATCAAGTAAACTGATGTGAAGGTGATTGCCTATGATCGCATTAAAACATATCTAAATATTTTTTTTCGTGTGCAAAATAAAAAGTTTTTGATATTGTGTATAAAATTGTGTGTGTTTTTTAAGTAAGTTTGGTTTATGAGGCCAACCATTTAATTTGACAACGCGTCCATATTAAGTGGATTGAATATATTGAGAGAGTGCATATGTGTCATATCCGCGTTTCATTTGGTCATCCGTCTTTTCGTTATTTGGGCTAACATCAACCAATTTTTTTTTTATTATTCACATGGCTTGACAGCAAACAAACATTACAGCAAATTAGACATTATTCAATATTTGGGATCCAAATACCAAGGGTATCCTTTTAATAATCATTAATACTATGACACAATAAACATGTTTATTGTATTACTCATTTGATAATCATAAATCATATATTTTACGAAATATATGAACTCTTTGAACTCCGCTTGAGGACTTTAAATATTAATTAGGGAGCTTAAAAGTATTGATTGCTGAGATAGTCTAGCTAACTTGTTATATTTAATAGTGATAACTATATCGTCGGACATTCACTATCGTATGATAAGTATCGAATAATCAAGTTATAATACTTATTACAAAGAAAAAAATGTATCAGTCATTAAATTATAAAATATATTCATTAGTTAGTTATCTACCACAATTTTTTAACTGCAGTCTGCAGATATTTATCTAAAAACATACTATTTTATTCACATCATTTTTATTCCCTGTACTTCAATATTATAATTTATCTATTTAGATTTCAAAACGACCTTTTGCCGTCAGTTGTGAATGATGAGTTTTTACTTAGGAAAACGATATCCACTGCACTCGAATAATAAATGAAATTAAAATAAAAATGGTATGCCGCATCAAATAGCGGATGAAATTTTAAACACTTTTTTTTTATCTTTATGTGTTTTTATTAGAAAAACATTAGTGTAAAAAAACACTCAGTCGATGGTGAACATGTCACTTAAAAATACAAATATCTCGACAGAAATTTTGAATAAAAATGTGAAATATTTTTTCTGATTTTAAAACTTTCATCTGGTAAATATGTTTTGAAGCGTTACTATTGGAAACGAAACATATAGTTTAACATACTATAATATATATTAAATTTTGTTAATAATTTATAATATTTAATACTAAAAATATTTAATATTTATATTTAATTCTAAAACTTCATATTTAAATATTATTTTTATTTTTAAATTAAATTTTATAAATATTAATATATTACCCGGTAATAAGCCAAATTGATAGCAGATACATACATACACACGCAGTAAAAATAACAAAACCCTATATATATATATATAATAATATAACCCTCCTTTTGGCAGTCAGGAAATAAATCATAGCACTTAGTAGTAACCGAAACACACTCATAGTTTAATCACAAGTAAAAATGATTACAGCCCATCAAAGTGGGCATAAGTCAGTTAGTATATATTAGTACTCTACGTGGTCTGTTCTAATACGGTCCTAACATACAAAAACTATTGAATCGTCGGTTTGGTCCGGTTCAATAGTTTTTAGTAGTTCGGTTCAGTCTTCAGATCATTATTTTCAGTCCGTTCCGGTCTCAGTTTGGTCACAATCATGATACTTAAAATCTAAATACAGATATTATTATGTAAACAAATAAAATGAAAAAAAACCTACAACTTTAGGTAAATATTTATTTATAAAGTTGAGTAGTCCGATGCAGTATAATAATAAACGCATCATATGGTACGGTCTAGGCTAATACAGACTGAATCTTACAGACCAAAATGTTTAAAGATCGAACCGAAAGTCCGGTTCATGGTCTACTTCATTAAATGTTATTTAATTACTGGCCGGTCCAGTCTAAAAATAATATGAAGCCGTCAGTTTGGTCCAATTTTCGTCTTTGATTAACGTTTAAGTGTGATCCGGACCGACTACGGGCCCCTGGAGAAATTTGAATTTCCGTCTGGTTCTTAAAATAATGGAATAACGGACCGTAAAAAGCACTAGTATATATATACTATGTATATACAAGTGAGCATAATCAACATAAGATATATCAAAGTAATGTTCATTAGAAATTCTAAAACAGTATTTACAGTATATAGCTCCACCAACTCCACCTAATCAAAATATTAACATTATTTTTCAAGTCAACATTTAGCGGTCAATTAGCAACAATATTTTCACAATATTCAAGGATTTAGAGCAGTGCCGTAACTGAACTATTTGAGGCCCGTGTGCAAATCAAGATCTTGAGGCTCCTTATCGTTTTACATTTTTGAGCATTTGACCTTTTGGGGTCCCATAATATCTTACGAAGTCCGGGGCCTGCGTGCAAAGCACACTCTGCACACTTGGTTCTTACGGCACTGATTTAAAATAATCATACAACAAAAAAAAAAAAAAAATTAAATTTTCTTTTTATATACTCCATTTTTCATTTTTACTCGAACATTCAGAGATTGATTATTCTGTTAGAATATTTAACAGTAATTTATCAAGCATGTTACTTGATATTTAACGCTTTATATGTCATACACATAGTATTCATACAAAGTATAATCTGCGATGATTTAGTTCATATAGTGTTTTTTATATGGTATAATACTACGATATATTATATAGGAAATATTAATTATTAATTAGTTAGATTCAAAATAATATTCTAAAAGTAATTGGATAAAAACCAGGTTAGAATGATCGGAACAATGCGGGAACAAAGAATAATCGACATAGAAATGAAAGCTACTTGAACTACGAGACCCTAAATCGAACTTTGGTCCTCTGCGGTTGTCGTTTCGATCGTTGCCGTTGGCGGAGTAGTTCCTAGCGATATCTTCGGCTCGGCGGTTGCTTCGTACACGGTCTCCTGTTGATGG